TGGAAGTGATGTCTTCTAAGGTTTACCTCTGAGAAGCTGCTCTTGCTTTTTAACAAGACCAAGAAATTTCTTGAAGCTCCTTTCATAGTCCTTTCTATTATCACGTTATCATGTTAAGTGAAAAACCAGAGCTTTAGGCTCATAGTCAATTAAGGATAAGAAAACTTGAAGTGACTACCAATCCATTGCAAAAAAAAAAAAGAAAAAAAAGGGTAATAATTTAATTATAGGTAGGGCAGGACTAGTGTGTTAGAATTTAGTCCTAACATGTGAAGTCTTGAAGAGAATAAAAAATCCTGCACATCAACAGTTCCTCTTACTGCAGTAATTTAAATGCAATTTCTGAACAATGTGTTCCATGAAAGCATGACTGGAAATAAAAAACCAGCAAACCATCCAGGAGAAGAAGATTTTCATCAACGTCATTTTTGTCATATAAATTTTCCTTCCCACCTGCATAGTGAGAATATATGGTCTAAAGAAATTCCCTCTTGTAAAATATGTGGTAAGAACAAGGCTGAGCACCATTTTGAAGAAAGTTACCATATGGAAAACATTTTAAGGATATTATTTTTCTTCTTTTCCAGTTCAGCAGACCACTGCTCATATCTCTTAATTTCACTATCCATGACTTGCATACACATGGCTCCAATCTTGTAGTGGATAATAATGGAATGGAACTGGGAGAAGCTGGAGAAACAGAAGAACACATACACAATGTTGGTGGTAAGTTCTGTGCTTTTCTTCCAATCCTCCCGCAGCACTCTAGACAAGGCACCCAAAACAGGTTCTACAAATAAGACAAGTAAACTGATCACTTTTATGGCATTATTAAGAATTTTTCAGCTACTTTTAAGGTTGTGTAAAACTTGCAAGTACTATATATTCAAGTGAAAAAAACACTTTCCAAGAGGAACCTGACATAAGTAATTATGTTGTAAGCCATAAATACAAGAAAATACCAGAGAGAAGCATGACTCTCCAACAAACCATATGTTGGTTAAAAGTTCAAGAGGATTTTTTTTAAAAAAAGTTTTTTTTTCAATTAAGTGACAAAAGTGGTCCCAGATTGTATGGTTTTACTACTTTTTTATACATACCATTTCCAGCAAGCTCCTCTAAGTTATCGGGATTTCTTGAAAGCTGTAGTATAAGTGCAGTTCCTCGTATTTTTTCAGGAAGTTCTTCATAAAGTAACTCTACATACTCCTCTATGTCATTTATGTTGGCTTGTTCATCTAGCTAGATTCAGTAAAGAAAAAGCTCTAATTATTCACTGAACCCTGGAAATCCCAATAATAACATGAACTTCAGGGCTTCTGCAGCATAAAATCTCTGGAAATTCAAGTAGAACTCCTGACTAATAATTAAAAAAATGAAAAAAAATGGAAAAAAATTCAGGTCTCACTTGATAAAATGAAACCTTTACTGTACATACACCCAAAATTAAACTAACACTTTATTTAATCCTTTAACTGCCATGAGTGACCAAGACAGAAATTCTCCTAACAATATCCATACAATATCAACCAGAAAAATGATGATAATAAAGAAAACTATCAATTTGCAGATAATTAGTTGATCCAGTAATAAATTCTCTGAACCAACATTATAAGAATTGTATGGTTGACAGTAAGGAGAATTTCAAATTTGGTGTGGAAGTTAAAGCGTTAAGTGGACACTAGCCCAAGCCTACAGTTTTCCTCTCATATAAGGGCAGAGCACAATAACTTTGATCATTTTCAAAGCATTTATTCTGAAAAATCAAGAGTTACTTTGGCTGCTTGAAATGATCAGATTTAAGACACTTGGTTGTAAACAATTAGTTCCAAGGTTTAAGTCTACAGTCACAGCTCAGATGTCTATGTGGCACTATTTACCAAAGAAAGTCTTCCTACATCAGTTTCTTTCAAGAAATTCAGAAAGGCCTATGAATATTCAATACATGTACTTGTGAATTTTTAGAAACAATTGATTTAATTTTAAATTACTCTATTTCCAATTGCATGTGCCAAAAAGAAAAAAATACCTCAGTCCCCTCAAAGTCAGCTGCTGCATTTCTTAGACTGTCTCCTTTCTCTTTACCTGGAAGAGATTGTAAGCATGAAAGAAAAACTCAAAACAACATAGTACAGTCACCTCAGGTTACAAGTTACTCTCTAATCAATAATTCAAAAGTATATGGTACAATATCACTTCCATTATAGGCTTAAATGAATTCATAGGTATTAGAAAAAATTTCTTCCAACTGCTATTACACATCATTCCTCTCATCTACTTTATTCTGAGAAAAATCTGGTTGCTATAAGATCACCTTTTGTTTTTCCTGTATCTTTCCTGTTTTGTAGATAGTATAGTAACTGTTCCACTTCAGGAAGTTTGGAAGGATGGATAAGCTTGCACTTTTCAATAACTTCTGCAGCCAGCTTTGCTATATTGGTTGTGGAATTTAGACTCTGAAGACGAATTCTGTTGATAAGTAACATATAATGTTCTTTATTTCCTGATTAAACACACGTTTTATTTGGGCTACCATGTAGTTTTCTTGATTGCTTTTAATTCACACTAATCACAACAACAAAAGAAGTTATTTAATTTAAATTTAGAAAATGTGTATTCCATATCAAACTTCTATTTTAAAGATTCCTCAGAGGTAGTACACCAGATTGAAAATTGATTAACATCGTCAAAAATTCTTCTGCAACATAAGTTGTAGTAAAAGTGCTTTAGTAGTTCACAGTAATCACAATAATAATGAATGCCATTTATTTTAAATCTAGAAATTGTACATTGCATATAAAACTTCTACTTTACTGATTTCTCAGTGTTAGTAAACCGGATTGAAAAAATTATTGATATCATCCATAATTGTTCTGCAACATACGGAGATAGTACCGTGCTTTAATTCACACCAATCACAACAATAGATGTTATATTTTACTTTAAATTTATTTCATATTAAACTTATATTTCAGAGATTTCTCGCAGGTAGTATACTGGATTGAAAGAATCGAATGATTATATAAAAAATTCTTCAGAGACATATGAAGATAGTACATGTGATAAACAGTGTAAGCAGCGTAACTAGGAAACGAATGAAGCGCCTGAACCGCCCACTACAACAGGAAAACAATTTGAAGTTGTAAAGAAATCCCAAGACCAAAGTCTAAGACTAGGCTAGCTCATTGCACGAGTCGTCATTTTAACCTGCCCATCGGCCTATGAAAACTGTTCCAAGCCAAGAACCTAACAGAACGATTACACATGGTGATAACTTACACTTTCTGACACTCTTTCCGCTCCCCCAACATAGGCTCTCCCAACGGGCCAAGTATAACAGCTTCCAGTTCATAATTAACCACAATAGCCTTCTCTGTGGGATGAGCATCGATGCTTCCTCCCTTCACTCTCCTAAAGGAAGTTAAAACTCGATCAGTGAACGAAATTAAGACTGACAAAAATTGAAGGAGGCGCCCGCCGACCGCGGACAACGACCTTGTCAAACGAAACTTTCGCTAATAGTTCACACGGTTCACAGCTTACCGTTTCAGATATCTTGCCTCCTCTTGCATTTCGTCCTTAAAACAAGACTAGAAAGCGTCCAAATCTCCAAAATAAGGCAATTTTAACGCTGCCAAAGGTAATTGTGTAATTTCTTCAGCTGCCATTTTACATAACCTTGCTCCCCGTTGAATGATGGGAAATGTAATATTTGCTGGAACGGACTTGTGGAAAATGGATAAGCAGGGCGGAGAAAGGTTCCGAGCAAAAAGGTGGTGTCGACTATAACTGCCTTCAACCAAACATTGGCTTTTTCTGAAAATTGCGGCAAGTTCGGCAATTTTGAATGCCGGGCTGGAAGAATTGTTTCGCCAGGATCTAGCGGATGACCATTTCATTTCCACCATTGTCAATATGTCGTCGCTGAAGTTTGTTGTGCCAGTTAGAGGAGTAAATGAACTGAATGATTGAAAATAGTTAAAAAGCTTCCGGGCAAACTTTGAAACATTTGTTTTATAAGTTCCTGTCACAAGCTGACACCTGTCACTTAGCGAGCGCAAGAAAAAGGCCATGTACTCTTTTGAATGAGCAACAGCAAAATGGCTATACCGACGGTTTTCTTTTAACAGTCAGTGATCTTAAGGAAAGTATAATTCACTTCCATAGGTGATTGATGTACGAGGATTTACCTCTGCTCAGTCAGTTGTGAATGACAAGGAAGAGCGATTGTTCGTCTTCCGTCGTGGCTTATTAAACAAATTTATCAAACACCTCTGCTTAATCAGTTTGAATGGCAAGGAAAGAGGCGGCGAGAGTGTTCGTTTGTTTGCTGCAATGACGTGAGCAAATCTTATCTTTCTTCGTGGCTTATTAAACACACGTGTTAAACAAAATTACTTGGCTTATTAAACAAAGGAAGCTTTCTAAAATGTTGAGAATCTCTGCTGTTATTATGGAACATAATACTTATTTGCGCGTTTTTTATATATCAACGTAGATGTGCGAGACATTTTTAATTGAATCGTGAGGTTTATGGTCAATATATCACAGTTTTGATTATACTTTCTCGCACATATGAGAACTCTCCAAATTTTAAGTAAACACTTAAAAATTTGTTCGCCAATCTTTCAAACGTAGCTGCTAACTGCCGTAAAAGGAACCTGATTTGATTAATGACAGAGAGCCATACTAATTCTCTATTCTATTCGCAAAGAATGGTCCCATTTAACATTTGATGGGGAAAAAATTGTTCCTCGCATCTGACTCCGGCTTTTTCTTTGTAAAGACTTAAAATTTTGCATGTGCGTGGTAGAATTTTGCATGTGCATGGTAGAATTTTCCGTTCATCAAATGAAAAGAAAGACCAAAGGTCGAGATGAGCACAAATAAATTAGACTTCCGCGCTGAATGACCGGGAGAAAAGCAGGAGAAAAGAGCGCTTTCTCTGTTCCTCAAAACGAAATAACAACTTTATCAAGTGAGTAACTTCACCTGGCAAAATGAAAGTAAACGAATCAGAAACTGTCGCTGATAAGGCGTACACTCTTAGATCACTGTTTTTTTGTTTGCATCTTCCAAGTTTCACCTGGGAGTTGGAGGAGAACACCATTCCCTGGGTTGTGTTTGGCATCACAGTTTTTTCTTCTCCCTTCATCGTCCTGCTGAACGTTTTAGAGATCATAGCCGTGAGCAGGAAGAAACGACTGCAAAGAGTGTCGACAGTACTGCTGCGTAGTATGGCGGTGGCAGACGTACTGGTTGGTGCTTTATCCATGCCGTTAACCGCTACTGTTGATTTATTGACTGCTCATCAAACGCTTCTGGATCATGTTTGTATATTTCACCTCGTTGGCTTAGCTGCGATGTATTGTGCTGGTGGGACAGTCGTGCTTCACTCGGCATTCATAGCCTGGGAACGATTCTTGGCTGTCAAGAAATGGAGGGTATACAAAGTGATTGTGACACAACGCCTTATGAAAAAACTTGTCGTGGTCGCTTGGATGCCTGCGGCAATCATAGCAACACCATACGTAATGATTGGGGCTGGTGTAGATCTTAAAGGATATGAAAACTTAGCTCTGATCCGGGGTATTGGTTATGTTTTCTTCATCGTGTTAATCATATATTTTAACTCTATGGTGTACCTTGAGTTACGTAAGCGAAAAAGAATCAAAACCCTCAAGGTTAACTCTCTAATCAAAGAAAAGTTGGACTCTAAAGTTGCTAAGATGACTGTTTTGATGACTTGTGCAATGCTTTTCTCGTTTCTTCTTCCAGTGGCGTGTCTCTGGTTGGGATATTTGTTCCCAGTCTTTCGGAAAAACTCGGCTTTTAGATGGTACGAGATATTGATGCAGTTACACTCATTGGTAAATCCATTGATTAACTGCTTTAAGTTGGATAAAACTCACCTCGTGCATTACGGAATGAGAACTGGGCAACCT